GTTACATTACCCATCCATTATATGAATCTATCTATATCTTATATACGTATATCTTTATCTATATATCTATATCTATATCTATATACACATAACATCATCTCGCTAGACGTTCAATCCCCCTTGTCTTTTCCCGCTCTCACTTTCTTGGATATTGGAGGAATTCTATAATTTGATGATGTATCATATCATATCTTATCAGGAAGAAAGGAAGGAAATTATAATAAGATTACCTAGCCCAGGTAACTTACTTACTAATCCTTCTCTTACTTTTCGGCTGTATTTATGATAGATTTTGAATAGTGTTTGAGTAGTTGGTAGTTGGTAGTTGGTAGATGGTAGATGTTGTTTGTTTGTACGATTGTGCTGTGCTGAGGAATTGGGGTTTGATGTTTGATGGTTGGTGGTTGAGGAGATAGGATTAGTTGGTGGTCAGAGATGATAGATACTTTTGCGTGTAGGGTATATATTACCGTTCACTACTAGGGTTGTTTTTATTAAATTCAACAGCTTTACACCTTGCTTTCATAATTCTACATATCTACATTTCCACATACTAATTACGCGATCTTTTAATGTCCATTTCAAAGATTTAAGATCCAAAATCCAAAATCCAAAATCACATCTCGCCCGCGCGTCTAAATCACACAACACATAGTCGTCCAGTTGGTCATCTCATCCCAGATCGATCATTCAAGCCAACTATAAACTATCGCTTTATTGTGCAATTGGTATATATGTATGTATGTATATATACACATTCCTTCGGTTTTCATTCTTGGATCATTATTTATGCTGTCGCTTTTATGTATACAGTAAAGGTGGATTTTATGTTTGGGCTAAAATGAGAGTCAAGGGAGGAAAGGGAAAAGAGGAAGTGGAAGTGGAGAGCTTTGTTGTTTATCTTTCTTGCTTTTGGTGTTGAGGATGGAGTTGGAAAATTGTGAGGGAGTGTTTGAGATGATGTTGAGTAACGGTGTCTGAGCTCTAAATATCTAGAGCTATGTATGAAAGCTGGTTGTTGGGATAGGAGTGGGGGGATAAAAAATGGATGCTTGAGATAGAACTTCATGGTAGATGAAGTAGATAATCAGAAAATGGAACTTTCAGTCTTAGAAACTTTGAGGAGTGAAAAGTATAGGGTTAGTCTATGGTCTGGCCCACAGGGGCGTGGCACTGATGATGCGGATGGTTCGATAAGTTTTCTAAAGGTTAGATACGGATGTGAGAGAGAATAGGTAGGGTCTGGGATCGATAGGGCAAGTCGACGGATTTAGTAAGAATAGCGAGAGTGTGAAGGTAATAAAGGAGAAATATTTGAAGGTAATATTACTTACATATGTATCCAAATATGAGGCGTTGACTACAACAAATTCCACTAGACTGGACTAGATTACTCAAATGTCCCCAAAGTTCCAAATATGTATTAGCCTCAATATCTTTATCAAACTCAATATTTCTAATATTTCAGAAATTTGATCGAACGGACCCTAACTAAGAGTAGAGTGGAGTATTGGCCAGATGGGTGATAAATATATTTGACCCCATGCACAACGAAACCATTCCATCTCGGCACGGTAAAATTGGACAGCAGGTTAAAGTTACTTTAGTACAATTTGATGATAAAGAGAAGGGAAATAGTGAGTTCGAGATGACTATAAATGTTGTACTGAACCGTTCTTCAACTTATTTATAAATCAGGGGTCAGAAGTTGTCAGATTTGATAACCGAGTATCTCTTTCCAACGTGATTTTATAGTTTCAACATCAAGCTACGTCCAGTAATTAAAGGGACTTAATAAAGTCATAACCTCTTTAAGACTTCACTGCCAAGCAAAATAAAATATTATAAATACCTAGTATCAGCCAAAAAATCCTCAAAGACTGCTGTGTGATTTCTTGCGAAGGACATCTCACGATATTCGTCTTCTGCACACCAATCACCTTTCGTTATATCTTCTTAGATAATTTGAATTCTAGATTGATATGCAAAGTAATCCTACAATTTAAATGCATTTTAATAATCCACCCCACCTCGGGCCAACACAATGAGATCGTGGTATTTTCCCATTATACCGAATCCTTCGTGTGGCACAGAAAATAAAAGACGGCCTTATTAGATGTTGTTGAAGTAGAGAGAGAAACCATTAGAACTATTCCAAGACCAAGTTACGACGAATTTGGGTGTATCATAAGTCTTCTGAACTGTAATTCTACTCCGAATTTAAGACGCATTTGGCCACGATATCTGGATATCATGTTCACTGTCATCAGGCTTGAAAGAGTGATATATTCTTTATAGCCGCTCAAATCATCTTTGGGGTCATGATATAAGTGCTAGTAAGTATAGTATCTAGATCAGACTTCTAGATTCTCGTCGAGATCATGAGTTCTAATATAAAAGAAAAGAATATAAATCCCAATATCTAGCTCATCACTAATTCTCTCCTAGATCCTTGAAAAATTGTTATGGACGCATTGCTTAAGAATCTGTACGGTATTCGAAAGGATTATACAGTAAATTATCAGGATCTTCTTTCATGACTTCTACAGCATGTGTAGACACTCCCTTTTCTATCCGCAGACCTGGATTGAGAGAGATTTGATCGTTATAAGGATGATACATGTTCTCATCCGATGATGTATAATGTGCTTCAATGTTCATGTCAACTTTGACAGAAAAGGAGTTCGCGCTGATGATAATGAATATTATGTTTTCATACTGGTCACATTGCACTCCAATATTAATAATTATTAGTCCAGATGATTGAGATTGGAGATGTAGAATTAATCTTCAAGTCATTGGTTCAGTACAAATAATCGTAGGTTGGAAACTGTATGAAATTGCTTTCTATTATTTAGTATTAAGACCAAGGAATTAACATCCGATATTTCCTCTTTTGCCACCCCGTTTAGTCCTATCAATATGACCCTTGAGCACCCTTCTGGTGTGTTGCAAACTTCTCTTTTGCTTACTCTTAGCTTTACCCAGTGTCATCATGAAATTCTTCTTTCTAGATTTCTCTTGATTCGTGGTACTCTTTCCCTCAGCATCCTTCTTAGCTCTCCTGATTGCCTTGGTAGACTTATGCTCACTACGCTCACCCTTTCCTTCTCTGGCCATTGCTATCTTCTCTTCTCTAGTGTTCTTTTGTAACTTGGAGAAACCTTCGATTTGATCAGCTGTCAAAGCATCATCTGCGTGTCTTGCTGCAGCGTCTTTCATTCGTTGAGATTGTGTTCTTCCGCCCATTGCTTTATTCACGCTGGCCTCAAGGCGAAGCTCTTGAAGTTTTGCAAGATCAGCTGGAGTGAGAATCTTAGTGGTTGCATATGTTGAGATCTTTTTCTCAAGAACTTTGTCAGCATTCCCCTTCTCAGCGTCACCTGACTTTTCGGCATCTTTAATGTCGAGCTTCGCTTTCTTCGCGGCAGGCTTTTCGTCTTCACTATCACTGATCTCAATTTCAGCATCACTCTCGACGTTGATCCAACCACCTTCATCACTGTCAGCATCAGATTCCACATCCCAGGCATTCCAATCTTCTTCGTCATCTTCCTCCTCATCTGTGCCCAATTCTTCAGGCAATCCTTGTTCAACTCGTTTCCGCTTCCTTTCATCTTCCTTCCACTGTTCAAGCAATTCGATACCTTCAATACCACCGACTTCTTCTTCACCAAAGCGTCTCTCTTTGATAGAACCAGCCTTGATTCCCATGGGTCGCCGTCTTTCCTCTGTCTCTTTTCTTCAACATATCAGCTCCAACTTCACGATACAAGGATAACAATCCCTTCGCAGCCATCATTGTCCCTTTATCCTTACTCTTCCTGTACATGATAAGATCTTGAAGAAGTGTGTCATTCATAGCTAAAGGTTGTCGCACGCAAATTTCTCGAATAGCGTTAAGTCCAGAAGCAGCAACCTCCGAAGCCGAGGCTTCAGAGACGAACTCATTGGCAATTTTCTGTACCAGAGGTTCCAAAGCATCGGGTGGAACAAGATTATGTGTTGCTTGAGCTAGAGATGCCAAAAATGAGGTTACTGATGGTTGTCGTGGCGTAAGGTATTTGGTGAAGTATGAATATAATGAGATTACTGTAAGCTTATGCAGACCAACAAGCCGTGAGACCAATTGTAGGACAATAAGTTTTTGTTCGAGGTTTAGCTTCGACTTTGAATTTTGAAGATGCTTCGAAAATAGGGATTCGGCGAAACCCTGGGGATCGTGCAAGAGGTGCAGCGCGGAGAAGTTCAACGGATGAGGTGCTTTGCTTTTCTTTTCCTTCCTTCGCACCTTTTCGACGGCTTTTTCTAATGACTTCGTCTTCTTCTTTGTCTTCTTATTAATTCCAACTTGATGCTTCAGTTTACCAATATCAATGGCTTCCTCATCACTGCTTTCGTCCTCCATCTCTTCTCTTTCCTTGTCACCACCCAGGAAAAACCGTACTCCACCTCCAATAACCTTCTCATTATCTGACAAACTAGCTTCCTTCATAATCTCGACAGCTTTCGCATCTGTCCATATCTGTCGCTTCCATAATTCTCTTGTAATTTTAACAGCCCAGATTCCTTTTGAAGATGTTCGATCGGATGTGAGCAGATTAAATAATGCTGTTTGCATTGTTCGATTGAGACGATGGTTGATGCTTTTCGAATTTGAAGTTCGGAGATCTGATAGGATCTTTTGGAAGAGTAGCGTCCGCAGAGTCTTACTGGGAGTAGCTACCAGTATTGGAAACAGTGTATTAAGAAGGTTGGCTGAATCAATTACTTCCTTTCGTCGCAATAATACTAAACTACCCACAATCTTCTCGCGCAATTCGCTCTCAAGCTCAGCATGATGTAAAGTGAGAATCTGTTTGAGATCCTCTGGAAACTCTGCGGTATCTTCTGGGAAACAGTCGGAACAATGTGCGACGAAATCGATAAGGTCGTGAAATGATACGATACCGCCAGATGTGGCTGTGGAAGGAGAAGACATGAAAATGTCTCTTTGGGATTGATATTGCCCATACTGATTCAAGAAATCTTCTGCATATGATCTGGTATACACGTTAGTGATGAACTCATTGCTCATTATGGAAAGTGTGTACTTACTTTGGATCTCTTCGAACCTTGTATTGTAAATTCGGACTGAAGAGGTCAGCAATGATTAGGAGAGAAGAGACCGATTGAAATCTTACAGATCCGCATCAACCTTCTCCAACGCGCCAACTCTCTTTTTACCCATTATGCCGGTTGATGTTGTATGCCTTTGGGTGATTGATTATGCCTCGTTATTGGAATTCGAATTCCCATGGGCGAGATATTTTTTTTCGTTATCATTATCTTAGCGCCAGTCGCTTAAGTTGTATCAAGCAAAGATGTGTGATAGATAATTGAATTATTAGCCAGCTGGAGGTGTGTGAATATGAACTAAACATTAACCTCAGCATAGCAAAACTTTTCAGTTGGATGCTTTTTCATTGGTTCATATGTTTGCCAGCTCATGCTCATCCAAGCAATTCCATCAATTAACCATAGCGACGACGTGGAATTAATCCATGATGGTTCATCTTAAGTCATTAGATGTGGCTACCACACCTCGTATGTCTTCAGTTAGCGGTCGCATCAACGCGGAGCACGTAGTTAACAATGACTGCGATCCCCAATATTATCGTGAGCCTCAGCTCGCGTTGCCAGTCATGGGCCTTTTCAACGGATGCGAGTTCACCCGAGAAAACTTTGGTTGGTTTCCGGTGACAATCTCTAGCTTTTAATGGCACCACATAAGTTTGTGGTGGGTCTTGAGAGCCATTCTTTGCTGCGAGTACTGCAAGTAATTGCAGGATTTTTTTGTATTGATGATATCACTGTATGTTTCAAAAAATTAGGTTTCGGCGAAGACATCATTTAGCCATTATCATGCCCGAATTCTATATAGCTTCTGTCGAGTGGCAGGTGTCTAAAGACTTCATAAGCCAATTCAAACCCCACCCTCATTTCTTCCTCTTCATCACTCTCTGCATCCACTTTCATTACTGGTAATGAATTCACCCACTGATTGTCCATTCATTTCTACGAAAATGTCGGACGCAGACCCATATGTCCTTACAAAACTTTCAGAACACATATCACGGCATCTCAACAAATCCCTTGATCAAGCCGTGGACAATTTGTCATTGAGGCTTCAGGATACGGCGAAGGATGCTATCGCCGATACTCGAGAAATCAATTCTATTATCGAGCAGGCAATTAGGGAAGCCGTCGAAAAGGCCATCGAGAAGTCTGTGGTAACGGAAGTTGAGCCTGCTTCCATAGAATCAGAGTTCAAATTCCCACCTCCTCGGAATCCCAATTTTGTGGGTCGCTCTTCAACCCTAGCTAAACTACTGAGTCTGTGGAAACCAAATCGAAAGAGTCGATTAGCCATTATAGGGCTTGGAGGGGTAGGGTATGTTATTCCCCCAAACGTCTGATAATAAAGCTCACAGATTATAGGAAAACTGAGCTTATCACTGAGCTTGTCTACCAAATTAGAGAAGCCTCGCCAGCATCGATATACTGGTTTGGCCCAGATAATTTGCTTACCCCTTCGGCTGACGGAAATGAGCCACTGGAAGATTGCTGGCGGCCCTGGGCCGAGACTCCCGGAAGCCTGTTTGGTCGTTGATGCAGGAGAAGAATTTTGATCACTTGATGCAGCATACTGACCATGGTAGATTGATTGACAGGCTACAAAGGTTTGAAGGTGCCATAATCCTCATCACAAGGACTAAAGCCAATGGATGTCTCTTGAGCGGGGCCGCATAATATTTTTGAAGTCGATTCTCTCGAACTCGAACCAACAATGTGTTTACTTCGAGATAGATTGACGGTTGACCTTTTCGACAATTCAACTGACGAACAACTTCGTGAAATCGCCCTTCTTGTTGACTGCCTACCAAGAGCCGTCGTTCAGATTTCGAATCTACTTAACGATACTTCGATGAGGCTCTCGCAGTTTATCTCCATTTACCGCACGAACGATCATTTTAAATTGCGGCTGCTGAGTTCAGTGGCACCGCTATTCACAATCTCAGAACAGGAATCTGTTATTGGGAAGGGCGTCATAGATGCTAGGCAGTTTAGAAAGAATTACAGTATGGCTGCTCGTATTCTCCATCATCTATATTACCTCGGTGGCAATGCAGTACCATGTTCTATAATCTGCTCGCTAGTTGATCCTCTTGATCTCATTGTCGTAATGTGTATTCTGAAAGGGAATTTTCTTGTCAGGGAGGATGATGCTGAAGGGACGTACAACATGCATCCATTGGTCTTCCTATCATTGAAAAAAATTATCACTGGTGAGAGACCAGAAACAGATGGAAGTGATATCGAGCAGGAGCTCGAATGGTACACACAAGCTGTTATCGCCTTTGGAAATCATTACCCTGACCCAAATAGCAAGAATAGAGAATGGTGGAAGAACTGCTTCGAACGTTTACTTAGCGACGGAAGCGAAAAGAGTGATTCTGTGCGCATTGCACTAGCCTTGGTCTACAATAAAGAATCGAAACATCTTGTTCGCAGGGGCTTTACACGATGCTTTGAGGATGGCCACAGCTGCCGTTGATACATTACCCGAGGCGATACCCCATGAACATCTAACGTTCTTCAAAACCATCTTTCGCTGCTCGAGCTCCTAGCCAAGTATGGAGAGCTTAGAGAAGCTCTACAGACGTATACGGAAGAACAGCCGGATGAATTATGGAAGAAGCGTGTTGAAGGTATCCTGTACCTGTCTGAGGGTACCCAACAAATTCGATGTTGTCGATCTGTTTCGCCAGATTCGCAAGACTAAAGAGTCCATGAATGCTCCCGAAAGTGATTTATGCACCAGCATTGACGATTATGGCATGGCTCTCATGGTAGTCGGCAACTATCAGGCGGCTGAGATGGAATTCTCGACAGCCTTTCGAAAAAGAGCAACATTTTTTGGAACGAACCATCCCGACACTCTTATCAGTTGCCAGCACCTTGCAAATGTGCTGCATAAGTCTGGTAGATTCAATGACGCCCTTAGATTTGTGGAAGGCGCTATACGAGGAAGCCAAATGTCGCAAGGTGACGAACATCCACAAACTCAATACATCAAAAGTCTCAAAGCAAAGATCCTGCTTTCTAAGGCTGTTTCATATTCAGATTATATTGAGGTTGAATCTATCCTCACCAATGCTGCAGATATCCTCACTGCTCAGCTCTCCGACTCTCATCCTCTAGTTCTAACCTGTAGGAGCAACATTGCATTGGTAATGCTGGCACAAGGCAGATATGACGAAGCTCTAACCATAAACCGTGCTGTTTTAACGGCAAGGGAACATGGCCCTTGGCTGGATCGTGAGCGACATCCAGACATACTAACGAGCCGACATCAGATTGCAGAATGTTTGAGGCTGAAAGAAGGATGCCATGCCGCTCAGAATTTGAGTTCTCAAGTATTAGTTGATAGGACACAAATTTACACCGACGGAACTTTTGAGGGTGACGATTTCCACCCTGAACAGCTTACGAGTCTCCACCTCCAAGCACTCATTCTTGCTGGCCTTGGTCAACACAGTGGAGCCCTTCATAAAATGGATCTTGTGTTGATTGGTAGAAAGCGAGTTCTTGGAGAGTCACATCCAGACTACCTCAACAGTCTCACTTGCAAGGGCGAAATTTTACGTGGTCAGCTTCCTCTTGAAGACGGACGGGAGGAAATGTTGGACACCATTGATGCTCTTCATGGAAGAGCTCTGGAAGGTCTGACTCGAGTATTTGGTTCTCAGCATCACTGGACACTTCAGTGTTTATCTTACATGGCAGCTGCAAAGCGTGAACGCGGTGATGCATTAAGTTACACTGAGGCTGCTGGACTTTATCGTCATATTTCGCGCGCCTACGAGGGAAATATGGGCGATCTCCACCCTGAAACGGTCAGAGCAAAGGCTCACCTGGCAGAAGTGATGCATCTTTTGGGTAACCGTCCCGAGGAGGCTAAGAAGGTTTTTAGAGAGGCTTGCGCCGGACTTGCGAAGGTATTTGGCTCAGATGCCCATGCTACCATTACCGCGTATAGAGGTTACGAAAAGTTTGCAAAGGACCTTTCTGATCCAGTCTAAGGAGTTTTGGAGTGTTATGTAAAAAGGGTATCAAAAACAGCACAGTTCATGGACTGGTAATTGGAGTACAGGTTGGGAAACACAGGTACGGACGGAAGGGCAATTCGGCGCAAATGAAATGTTCGGGTAGGCGTTGTTTTGAACATGTATTCGGGACGGAGTCTTTTTTTGATCCCAGCGCTCTGCCAGATAGACTCAAGTCAACATGGAACAAATTATAGAAGCCTCGTTGAAGGCTTGAATTAATACGCGGATCGAAAACTGTATTGTCGTTACGTGCGCTTTTTGATACAGGTCATATTTTTTACATCTAATAAAAAAGGGTGGTTTTCAGAAGTCTGATGTCGAATCATTCAAGCATGCAGTCCATTAGTCTTTGTCTATTTTGAAAGATATTACAACTATATAGTTCAAAGCTACAAATTTTGTCCATTTTAATTCAGCCTATTTGAGCTGCTGAAATTTTTGCCAGCAAACACCCACACAGACGGGTCTCGTACTACGCGAATCCAACCCAAGGTGCCACGTTCGGATTTCTTTCAATGCCCAATCATTTTGGAGGCCTTGATTGCAGATATTCTCCATCAAATACATCATTTTCTACTTTATATTTCTTGTATGTTTGTATTTTTTTTTACCAGTTTTCAATTCAATTGATTTTTCTTTTCTTTTCCTTTTTTTTGGCATTGCTGGCGCGGTTTTCACTATGTTTCATTAATTATTTTTCTTTCTTTTTTGTTTTTCGAATTTCCCTGGTGGATTTCGCACATTAAGTATGGCTCCAATAATACTTCCCAATTTATCCTCCCATCTCTTCCTTACAAAAGTCGCAAATTCTACATCCTTCACCAAGAAACCCTTCTCCCAATCTTTTGATACATTACCTACCTCCGTATCATCTCCCTCTACCTCAATTCTACTCTCAAAGTCTCCAATTCCAACTGTACTTCCGCACCTGTTCCACGAAAAATTCTCCACTATCATTGTTAAAGCCCCTACCACCACCTATAC